TCTCCAGTATAAACGCCACTCGATTGATACATCCTTGGTTTCGCACTTACCGTGTTGCAGAGGCAAAGTTCAGTATTAAGCTTGAAATGAAATTTTTCACTATCAATCTCAGATTACGATTCGATCTATGACAGGCTTAAATTTACTTTCATTGGAAAATTTCAATCGACTGAATCGATTTCGTATTATAATTGTGAATTACATGTAACGACAATTTTACCCCAATCATTGACTGCTAATCAATTAATACCAAATTGAAAAGAAAATACGAAGATACAAAGCAGAAAAGTGATTTCGCCTTTGAGGTCAAAAGACACCTTTTGAAATTTTAACTGAAAATTATATTCCTAGTTTAGTCATATATTTTGAACTGACTTTTAGATTTTTTCAAAGACGATTATAAAATTAACTGCAGGAAATGTCTAAAATTCAATTCAGGAAAAATGATTAAACTAAGAAAATAATTTTAACCCTTAGCACTCCAGGTTGTTTTGTAATATATCAGCAACTGTAACTAATTTTTATAGTATTAACGAAAATGAAAAATGCTGTAACATTTCTTCGGCCTTTTATCTTCCTTCTTAGTACAAAATTTGAATTTGTGCAAAATCGAATAATTTTAAGGTAGTTTCTTTAAGATTCATTAAAATATTTAATATTACAACTGATGCAATATTGGAGCCTACAGAGTTCAAAGGGTTAAGTTAAAATTTCAAAAGGTGTTTTTGACATCTTCGGTAAAATTAATGGTAAAGAAATCTGCTAGACGGTTTCTACATTCGTAGAACACTATGATTAAAAAAAAATGCTCACCATAATCGTAACCCCCTACCAGTGTCGTTTCCCGAATTGGTAAAAATCGTCTCGCCGTCTCCAACGATCGAGACGGTCAATCCCGGTTCGACAGTGAACCGGCAATAAATTCAGTTATACTACTACCACGTGTGCCGTCCGTCAATCTTATTTTCAACCTCTTTCGAACAAGCTTCGGCAACGTTAATTTATTGAACGAGCATTGGATCTCACGATTCATTTCAAGGGAATTAAAAGTACGCCGTGAGATAGTCCGATACTAATTCTTTATACGATGAATTATTTATTTTTTCAAAGAAACATGTAATGCTAGGTGCATTCGTCCTGCGTTCAACGAGTACATACTTCATTTTTTTATTTTATTACACAAAACGAGAGATTTTTCTAAATTCCACAGTTAACCGGTTAATCATATAATTACTAATGATGTAGTTATTACTTTCACGAAAGTAACTAGTAAATGCGTTACTGTTTGAAATTCAAATTTCTTAAAATACTCAACGTTTCACATCAATATCGTCGAAATTAAATAATGATAGATCAGAATACATTACGATCTTTATATTGGAATAGGTTACGAAGCTTCTTACCGCGATTGTAACTTCGCCCTGAAGTTGAACAAGATAATCACGAATTTACCGTCGCGAACGGAGTCGCGCGTCACGGGGACACGGAGGCACATGAAACCGACCGCGACAGCGTTTCAGTGCGCATACACCAGAAGGGTTGCGAGACCCGGAAAGTCCCCATTACCCGGATTACGATCTGATGCAAGGGGATAAAAATAAAGTCTTGCCCTTGCAGCCTATAATCGCGCTTAAAGCTGGGCTCGCCGGGCGAAAGTAAATATTACTTCCGCGCAAACGATGTTAACCAAGCAAACCGGTGGCCGCGTTGTTTGCCGTGTAACAGCGTTGCAACGATTAACAAATATCGTTCGATTGGCTGACCGGTGCACACCGTTACAGGCGTGTCGGACATATTCCCGATGCGGCGACGGTCAATCTATCGGTCGAACGTTGGCTGTCATTGATCGATGGCCGCGCGATCCGTCCGAAAGGAAACGAAAGCGAAGGAGGAAACGGCCGAGGAACGTGACTCGCGTCGCTCGCGGGACTGGCCCGGCCGCCGCGGCACGTCTTTTTACACGTCGTCACGAACGTGCAACAGGTAAATGGTAATACACTAAGATCGCATGCCGCAATTAATTTTTTAATTCCCCGGCTCGTTGCACACGACCGCGAGTTTTCTGGAATTCGAGGGGAACGCGAACGTACGATACCCGGTGGAATTATGAGACGCCTTTGAATTCTTATCGTTACTTTCGCGGAGTTATTTTTGGAACATTGTAACCGTCGCGTCGTCCGAATTCGGGCCACGTGATTTCTTGGCTAGATTTGAAAATATTTTCTCTCGGTTACACGTTCAGCGAAGTAAATCTTATTGTAGACGCGGAATGCGAGATGGTTAAGGAAGCAGATGAGAAATATTGTCTCGGTTTCTGTTATTGAGACGATTGCTCTTTTCCAGATTGAGATTTCCGTTGACAGACGAAAGCGCACAAGATAAAATGCACGCAGTATGTAATCCGCAAATGTAAGAAGTGCGAAATGTTTATTGAATTATTGCATAAAAATGGGAAAGAGAGAATGTTTTAAGAAATACAAGTAATTTACAGAATCGAAGATAATATAAATGATTTGCTATTACATTATTTATTGCAAATTTGCAATTCTTTTTAAATATGACAGTTTATTAACTACAACCTTGCCGGATTGTACATTTGCTAGTGGTGACACATTATATGTGGCAGGCGTGTCTACATCTAATACCATTTTGTGTACCATCGAGTGGTGGTAAATAAATGTTATTTATTTCATTAATATATTGTGTGAATAGTAAAAGTTTGATTCCTTTTACGTAGAGTTGGAAGTATTTCTACTTGCAATTAAAGATATCGAACACATGTTGAATAATAAATAAATAAATTGATTGTAATCGATATAAGTTGAAATGAGCAAAATGGTTCGCATGTAATGTGTTAATCAGTGGTAGGCTAAATTTCTTTCCAACTCATCCAGAGAGTTTTACTTAAATAATAAAACTGGGTGGTCTTTTCACGGGACTTTGTGCATTTTGCAGTGCGCGCTGTTTTCATGTAACCTGGATTTTTATGAAATTTAACAATTTATTTTGACAGTCAATGTGTCGACTTCTTGATACAAAGCGGGTCGTATGCGTGAACAGAATTATAAGCTTTTAATATGAATTTTATAAGTAAATGCTATATGCATAAAGAGTGAAGTATTTAGTAGGAACAGTGTTAATTATACTTATACTTTATGCTAAGCTTATGAAATGCGCCAATTTGAAGCATATCGAATATCATTAACATAATTTGGTGAATGTTTAAATCGATTTTAATTGGTGCAATTATACGCATATGTATTCCAAATATTCATTGTTAATCTTTTAATTTTTAAGATCTAAACGAGCGAACATCAATTTTTCTAGAAACAATAGAATAACGTACAATAAATATCTGTAAACCTAGTGTTAATTTTCCGATGAATACTTGAAATTCTAGCATCGTATTTATTAAAAACATCAGTGAAATACTATTGTAATTTTAAGTATTCCACTCGCCTGCCTTAATTTGGAATAATTTTCTGTAATGTTTACTTTAGATATTCCAGTATTTATTACTTAATAGCAGTGCAATACTACGCATAAGAAATCTAACATCTGTTTTTACTTACATTTAATACGTATAAGCATTTCCTTTTTGTTATGGATACGAGCCAATAAAAAAGGAATTCGTTGCGTCCTAAAAAGGCTATTTAATTTGGCTCAACTGCACAGTTATGTAAGCTAAGAAACAGAATCTTTACACTGTCAAGCATTAATTAATAAGGTTGATGTAAAATAGCAATAAAGAAATATCGAATATTTTCAACAAATCACAGATAGTTTTCGACGTTTCAGAAACGCCAGAGTTTACGTTTAAGTTATATCGGTGATCTCGTGCAAAAGATGTATCGCGTGAAGCAAATTTGAAAAGATGTTCAGTTGAAAAATGATTAATTGCACTTATTAAGTTCATTCGGAATCTTCGTGACGCAGGTTTAATGCGTGTTGCAATTACGCTGGAGTTTACAAAGTTTCAAGGTTCTTTATACTAAAATGTTTTATTCACGAAAAGGGAAATCAGTGTGCAGGTTCAACGAACCTAAGTACGCGTCAGATAAATAACAAAGGCAAATGCTGAACTCATTTATAATGCGTTCGCTGTTTAAAAAAACTGAAGTTCCTCCTGTTTTTCTTGTTTTCTTTTAAATACGGCAAACACTTCCTGTTCGTGATCAATAAAAGGATTTGTTTTTTAAAACATTTTTAATGCTCTTTAGGAATTAGTCAGTCTACAGAAATTCTGTATAATTTTGATGTCGCATTTATATTGTTTTTCAGGAATTAGGACGAATTGTATGAACACGTAACACGACAAAATAATAGAACATGTAAGGAAAATAAGAATTTTATTAAAAAACAGAAATAATATGTTTCTTCCTTTTCTTTAGAATTTCTAAAATTTTGTTAGTATTTTATATCATCTGTTCTATGGAATTAAATAATCTGCAACCTCTATAATGATTGGGAAGTAACTGTTATCATGCGTTATTTTCATTATATTTAATTTTACAACTCAATGGACAAAAAATGTTACCTATTCGAAAATGATTTCCAATTACTTTTGAAGAAATTAACTTTGAAATCAATCAACTAAATTTGAAGAAATTTCAAAAATCTATTAATGTCACGTAGACGATATTTCTAATTCTGCAATAATAAAACAAATATGTATTTATTCCAATAACTTAATCGTTTCACTTAAAATATTTGGTAAATAGACAATAATAGATTCGAAGATCTATTAAATTACTTGCTACAAAAACTGTATAATTCTAATCGCTGAATCGACTAGAAAGTAAGAAGACAGGTCACAGTGAAAATCGTCGAGTTCAACGGTATTCTTGTAAATGTAGTAGGAATGAACAAACTACGTTGCACGGATGTTAAATATATTTACCGTACAGGAATGCAAACTTCGAAGACAGAAGCGTTAATGGTTCACGGCTCGAACCAATGTAAACTGAACTGCCGGAGCCGGATTCAAGAGAGCCACTTACCTTATGGTGGATAAGCGATATGTTGTTTCGAGTGCGGAATAATACACCTCAGTCTTCTGTGTGTACGTGTCAAGAGAGGGTGGCACAAAGATGCTGAGCTTCTTCTCAATTCGGCAACGCGGGAGGTCTTCGCTTCGTGCAACACCATTGCAATTGACTTAATTCACTAGCGAACTCTTCACCGAACAACTGTACAAAGTCACGACGACACCAACGAGCCTCGTGACCGATCTTCACCGCGCGAGTGCTCGCGTGGATCTTGCTGTTTCGGACGTCAACGCGCGATTCACTGCGTTTCGCGTCCCATTTCGTAATTCGAAGAGCCCACAAACATGTCTGAAACAGAAATTAATGGAGTATTTACGACTGCTGGGGAGATGCGAGGATGTATTGTCACAGGATCGTAATAATTTATATTAACCCTTCCAGTTCTGGGAAATTATCTATTCTTCTAATTGTAGAAACGAAATTTATAATTACTTTAATTGTCATACTTTTCGAAATATTCGTTTACGGATCTCGAAATAAACGACAATAAAGCGACAATCGGAAAATTAATAAATAAGGCTTGTGTAATGTAATGCGTTTTCTGTGTTTGCACAAGAATGCATAAAATGGAATAGAAATAAAATATTAATAAAATGTAATAGTCGAGTAATGTTACATTGAACCGAATGGACACTTCGTTCTTAAGAAGGAAAAAGATGTTTATTTAGGTCTTGCTCTTCTGATTATTCCATCAAATTCTGCACTAATTAATATTGCCGCTGCACAGAAGTTAACAATAAGAATTGGCGTTCGTAATTTTAAATCCCAATGTTTTCGGAACGGTAAGTAGGCATTCGAAATTTATTTCCTAGTTACTTTGTTCGTGACCAAATGGAAAAGAGTTAATATTAGACCTTGTTACTGCACGTTACGTTATTACGTGTTACGTTACGTGTGTAACGTTGTCTAATCGATGCACTACAATCGCGCGTGGATTTATCTGACAGATCTGTAATTGCTACGTGAGTCCATAGATCCTTCCGAAACTCTTATGCCACAATTTAGGTGATCCTCCATTTGATCCGAAACTTCGAGTCCGCGTGTAGAAGAGCATATTGATTTCTATGGAATGAAAACCAACTAGTCAGATGTTAGACCGATTCAATATCGAAGATATATATCGCCACGTGATAGATATAAATACGGAATATGAGAACACTATTTTCTGCAAGCTGGTAGGTGTATCGCTAAGCAAAACGTTAATTCGTGAATGAGATCGCAGGATGAGTAAACTTCGACTTACTTAATGAAAATAGCCTAAAATAATGATAAACAATAACGAATGTTATTAATGAGAAACATGTTAGTAAGCAAGCTTATGGAAGCAAGTATCACATTTGGCAAAAGTTGAGTACTTTTATTGGTAAGATTAATGTTACAAGTTGCAATGTTAATGAACTAGTTATATTTTACTGTAGGAAATATTGCATGAATTGTAAAAAATAATATCACTTTTTTAATACATAAGTACCAGAGAAATCGAAGATAATGTTGAAAATTTAAAGGTATTGATATTCTGTGTAATTTAAATGGCCCGTCTGACCATTGCACGCTTACTCTACTCACGCTGATACTTTGAGACATGAAGAGTTTGATACGCTGGTCGCGAGCGCTATTATATTAATTAACGGTTACTTTTTATTGAACTAGGTCACTGAAGAATGGACTTTATTTACTAAAAAATTACTAAATTACAAATAACACAAAATCGTTGTTAAACTTAAAGTAATTTTTGTTTTTTCACAGCGTTTAACGTGCTATATTGAACAGCTGCACAAATTTCTGAACGTATTTTATCATTATCTTAGTAAACAATTGTAAACTCCAATTATATTATGTTCTAAATCATTTAATTTCACGATTGTGATCAAGCGTGAGTTGAAAATGAAAACATTGGGAAAAATGAAATAACGTTACGTAAGCAGAAATTTTATTTATAAACCTCATGAATACAAATAAATAAAAATTATATGTAACTTACAATCGATTGAAACGAACTGAAAAGGTGAACACACTCACGATTAAACGATACCACTTCCAATGAGGAATAAAAAAATACATACCTTTCAGGGCGGTATTTACAAAATAAAAACCATTTTAATAAATTTATGCCAGGGCAAAACGTGAAACGTCGTAAAAGAGTTTGTCGACTTTATTGAAGGCGTAATGTAACCGGAAAATAGAATTATTATAATTTTTATTCAATAGCTATAATTCGATGTATGAAAGGTAAGAAAAAGAAACAATGGAAACGGGATTAATATCAGGAGAAAAGAGACTATGAATCCGCGAATGAAAGGACGAAGGACACTTGGGAGAGACGTCTTTGAAAGATTTGCGCAGAGCCACCTGACCATTCGACTCGACGGTGTCTCGTAGCAGCGCGTACCCCGAAATGTACGTACACTCGTGGGTAGATTCCAAGGAGGTTAGTACTTTCGAAAATACAACAAACTCTTTCATTGATACTTCTGTCTAGAGATTGCAAGATACAGGAAATAAGAATCAAATAATCCAAAACACGGTGAGCACATTAAAAAAAGAAACCATTCTGAAGCAAATACTGCACCCGGCTTTCCTTTCGAACACTCTTACCTACCAGCGATCATTTAACAGTTTCTTTTTAAATGAATAATTAATAGTTATTTTCCCAAGAATGTAATTACAATTGTAAGCACGAATCGTCTTTAATTTTCTTTTAGTATAATTATTTTAAACAAAATTATTGAACTTTTTCTGATTCGGTGCAGTTATTAAGAGGTCCATTAATATGTAAAGCGTTAATCAACCCCTATTACGGAAACTGCACGGTGCATTGGATCGAGTGAAATGCATAATGCATCCACTACTTAAAAAAAAACAATTATTTCTCTCTGTAGATTTTTAATTTCATTTGAACTCATCACCAATAACGTTCCAATTTATCGCGAACTACAATCGTCGTTCGATTCTCGTCCCGTGGAACGGTTGTTTGTTCACAGGCATTACACAAACGTAATCATCGAATAACCTCCACGAAACGTTCCACGTATGGACCGAGGAAACGAAAACATCACTCGTGACTGGCACAACAGACAATTATATTTCACCTGTCCCCGTTGTAAAATTAACTCCGGAGAACCATACTGTGTGCCACTGCTTCGCCCGAAGGGAAAAATGACAGACAGAGTAACAACCGAGGGTAACGTTACACGCGTATATCAGAGACGTGCCTGTCATTCGTCGTATCGAGTATCAGAAGACCGAACGGAATCGCTCGAACAGCGCCGTTCTCAGGATCCTCATCCAAGTAACATGTGATCCCATCGAACTCAAGGAACGATCCCTCACCGAACGGAACAGAGCAACGATCAAAGCAAACAGAAAACGACGGGTGAAACTGAAAAAGAAACGCGAGAAAATCAAGCGAGGTAAACACAAGTATGACGAAACCGAAAACGATCATTTAAATAAACGAAACTCGAACGTACTCGTTTCTCGCGCTCGTTACCACTTGTTAGGCAGCAGAGTCGTATGCGTGACGCATCAATCACGTTCGTCGCTCGGTTGCCTCGATAGAATGTCTTCACGAACACGCATACACACAGTCCGGCAAGGCTTCGGCGACGACGACGACGACGGCGGGTAACAAACGAACAAACCACTGGTTCCGGTGCAGCACAACGGTTTCGCGCGGCGACGACGGCGGCGACGGCAACGACGACGACGAGGACGACGAGGACGAGGACAACGGCAACGCAGCAGGACGAGAATCATGACTCGTCCGTTCCGTCCATACCGTCTAGCCACGGCACGATCGTATCAGCGTGGCGGCGATCCTGGCGGCTGTTCATCGGTCTCGGGTACGGAACCGACGTGCAAACAAGGGAAACGGCATCGGCTGCGGTAGCGACGACAGTAGCGGCACCAGGAACGCTGCTGCTCTCGAGGCGTGCGTCGAGCGTGAAGCACTGTTTACATGCGAGGAGGGGCGCCATGGTCACTGCCGCCTCTGATCCTCGTTCCCGATCGTCATTGCCGTGACACTCGGGCTCGCTGTCGATCGTGTTCTTGGCGGCGCGAACGCGTGCCGCGTCCTCACTTTGGCCAGCATCGGTATCATCGCGGCGAACCACCGTACGATCCGGTCCGTTCATTCATCCGCCACGGACATTTTAAACTGTTCCCCGACGAGCGACCGTTTTTTCTCAGCTACTCGCGCGTACACCCATCTCTCGGTACACGCTCCGGCCGCCTGCCCC